ACGTTAAATTTTATAAATATTTATTTAAATTTCCTAAATTTATCTTTAAAATTTGCTATTTTACAATAATGTAAACGTGTAGTCTACTAGTATGCCCTCACTTACCTTAAAATTATAATTGTTATTAATTTAAATTATTTATAACCATTAAAAGCAAAAAAATACGTTTTTACAAGGTCAAAATTAATGTAAAACACAGAATTTTAACTTATATTTTAAAGAGAAGAGCTGGAAAACAGGGAGGAAGAGAGAGAGAGAGAGAGAGATGCAATATTGAAGTGAAAGAAAGGGAAGGAAAAACGTCATTCTCTAAGGAATAATCCCTATTTTACAATTTTAAAATGTGTTTTCTTTGAGGGTAAACCCAGTTTGGAAATGTTATTCTACAAATTTCCGCCATATTCCTTTGGGTTTTTACAAATTCCACACTTCTACCGAATTTATTGCCTATCTAAAAAGACCTTATTCGAACGAAGGATTTTTTTTCTAATTTATTTTTCTAAGAATAAATAACTTAAAATTAATTTTCTCGTCCTAAATTATTTTTTTTTCAAAAAATAATATATTTATTTATTAATAAACTACCCCATTTCTTCGGGATATAAGTTATAATTTAAAATTTTTAAATATATTTTTCTATAAAGGTGATATAGGTGTAACTTGGTAGACTTGGTGACATTTGGCCCACTTTTCAGGCTAATTATTTAAGTTTTAGCCTATATATCAGGCTAATTTTTAGTTCAGGCTTTTGTTAGATTGTTTTCTTGATAAAACAATAAGAAAAAAAGAAATACAGAAAGTGCTCTTCTATCGACTTCTTTTTAAGTATAACTCTGATGCGTTAATGGCCTGTCAGACCTCATAACAAGGCAGATGTGTGTGTGTAGTTGCAAACGATTCTCGATGCCAATCTGTTTGCCTCGCAGCCACGACTTTATTCACTCATCTAAGCAGAAATTTATAATATTTTCTTGCTAAATTCATGCAAAAATTAACCTTTTTTTGACTGATATATACTTATATATACAAAGTAGTTCTTAAAGTTCGTATACTATAGTGGCTTTTTCTATTGTAAACGGCCTATTTTATGCATATATCTGCAAAAACTTAGCATCTAGAAGAGCATATAACTGTATAAAATTAGCTGTATAAGCAAAACACTACCTGTAATGCATACCTGTAAGAAGTTGATGTTTACAGGAACTTTATAGTATAAAGTCTCAATTATATGTATATATTTGAAGAAATTTAGCATTTGGAAAGAGCATTTAACTGTATAAATCAACTCAATAAGCAAAAAAGTTAAAAATTTTTACTAATCTCTACAAAAAATTGACATTTCTATGGCTGATACATGCAGTTTATCAAGCATATACGGCTGATAAACACCTAAACTGTAGGAAATTTATGCATCTGGTTGACAATTTTATGCTTTATTTGAACAAAATTAGCATTTAGAATTGTATAAATTTAACTCTGCAAGCCAAAAAGTCAAAAAAATCCCTGCAAAAACTCATTATAGTTTCTGTCTACCCAGAAAAATCGTCTATCAGTTAAGCTACCGAACTCCCTATCTAATGCCTATCTATCACGCACTTTTATTTAATTTACACACAACTTTACACACTTGAACGTAAGCAAAATAACTTGTTTAACATCAAAACAATAGCGCAATTTATCAACAAGTTGCTCAGGTGATTAAGTATAGATAGACCTTGGCATCTTAACTACTCGTGTATCGACAGAAAATCTTATTTACACTCGACCGCATAAGTTATATGACTTTTTGAACGGTTCCTATGTGTTATGAGTTGATTAGAATCGGTTTTAGAACTTACATACAGACGTCTGAACTCTTATAAAATGCAGAAACGATGGTACAAAGTACAAATTTCCTTGCTTTAAATTGCTTTGGCTAAAATTCTAGTTAAATATTAATTAAACAGAGGTAGAAGGCGGTTAAAATTCGACAATAACCTGGTTAAAATGATTGATGTAAACACGATAATTTCGACGAAACGTCGGAGGTGTGTCTGGTTATTTATTATTATTTTTTTTAATGATGGAATCTCATTATTGAGGTTGTAGGATAGAACTAGATTCTTTTTTGAACTGTATGCTCGATAAATGGCTCCAGTTCTGTTTAAATGCAACTTATTTTTTATCTGTTTAAGTGTGTAATTTGAGAGATAACATCTAGAAGCGAGTTTCGACTTCATCCCTGCTACTACAGCTTTCGTGTCGGAATGGCAAATTAAATATAATGATATAATGCTCACTTTATATAGACTTATAAGACAAATTATGAGCCTGAAAGTAGGGAAGAATATATATTTTTAACATAAAAGTGTGTTAAGTATCGCTGATGAGCCTAATTACTATAATATATGAGTTCTTTACAGTGTCTTATGCCACCAGAAACTAGTGGATGACCTCCTAGTGTGACGTTGTGTCTGTATTTTTTAGATCGATACATTAAAGTCACGTTTAATTCTTTAAAATAACTACTTTACACGCATTTATTTACTTTTACACGTACTGTAGACGCCTTAGAGAACACTGCAAAGTATCCATAAAGGCCTATGTTTACTGCATACTTGGATATAGTGTTAGTCCTTATTTTTTTGTGATTATTGCATATTTAAATGGGTTAACAAATTATAAAAGTTGTAAACAGAAGCTATTAAACATAATTAAGAAATCAGCATACAGATAAATTTTTATAAGGCATAAAAATGTAAAATGAAGCAACACAAAGAGAAGAGATATACCGATTTCGGTGTAGCTATTGACTGGAACACTCATAAATCTGTCGTATATTAAGTAATTAAGCTGGAGGGTGCGTGTTATAGTCCGAATTAAGAAGTTAAATCCTCTTTTATGCTATCAACTGTGAACGGTTTGTTGTAGAGACGTGTTATCGTAGCGAGAGAGGATCGATCGATTTGTATTCACCACCGTGTCACGTTTGAACTTACGTGTCAACAACCATCTGGCAAACTATTTTCGAGATAATTTTACTAGAAATTTCGAAAATTTGGGTCATTTACTCTGGAGAAATCCGACTTTGAGACGTCGTCATTTTTGGCAGACGTCTTGATCGAGCGAAGATTCTCTCACCCCCAGCTGCTTGGATACGTCTTTCTTCTCTCTAGTTAAAACAAATCGATCAGCTTATGCAGTATTTTGTTAATGAGTGACTCCTCACGCTAGTGTATATTGTGGGCTGTTTTCTTCAGCTGTCTCCTCTCAGGATCGCTTTGTTAAGGTTTTGTAACGTGTTAGGCCATAGTCGATCGCGTTAGGCTCGTAATTTGTGAAATTTTGCGACTTTCCGAGACAAAATATTTATCTGTTTAACATGAAACACGTTCTCTTATATAATATTTTGACCTATCATCTCTAAAACTATACCGTTTAATTTCTAACGAGATAATTCACAATAGGCTAAAATTTCTTTTACAAGCTTCTTCCATACTAGCTTGAAAGCCCTTTAAATCCCTCGCACGAGCTTGAAACCCCACCATATCTCTCTATACTAACATAAAAACCTTCCATATATCTCCACACTGGCTTGAAAATTCTCTATATCTTTCTATACAAGCTTGGAAACCCTTTATATCGCTCCATACTAACTTGAAAGTCCTTCATATCCCTCACATTAGCTCGAAAACCCATCATATCTCTCCATACTAAAACACCCTCCATACACCTACAGTAGCTTGAAAACCCTCCACATCCTTCCACACTAACTTAGAAACCCTTTATATCCCTTCATACATCAAAAATTCCCTTAAACTATGACACAAAAAGCACGGAAACACGGCACATCACTCCATACAACAAACTCGAACACCCTAGGCTGACGAGGAAACTCGATAAGATTGGTACCAAAAAAAACTAACGATAGGTGTAAGAGGTCTCTTACACTAATTAAACAGGTTCAATCAGTTAGAAGACGGACAGAAATTACGAAGGGATCTATATTTACAAAGTAATAATATACGTAGAGGGGGTGAGAGTAGTTGTTTACCGAAGCAGTAAATCAGTTTATAAGTTTTCGTCGAGCCACCCACACCACAGCGACTGCAAATTGCTCAACTAGAGACGAGCGAAGAGGGGAAGGAAGTGTTTCTAAATCCTTCAGTTCCTGTTACGAAATCCAAATCGCCTACACATGGCGGCCGACGTGTACACAAACAAAAACTTCTTCACAAACAGTTAAATGTATCGCCTTGAAGTCTTCCGTCTCAAGTTTATGTCAACAGAATGCGAGACCTTTACGAAATTACAGGAAAATTTTCTTAATTTTGATTAATGAACCGCCCAACTACGTTCTTAATTTTTCTTAAAGGAATTAAAATGACAGTTGAATGCGTTAACCTGTAGGCCCCGTACTCTTTTTTCCTTTTACGAAACATAAATCTTCTTTAGAATATAAAGTCGGAAGTTATATTTGGATATTTTATTGTACGTTGATTGTGTTTTTCCTCCCTCCCCCATTCAGATGTAACCTAATTAAATTATTTCGTTAAACGTAAGTTAACGGGTTTAAATTAATTTTTAAAAATCTCCTAATTAATTAACGTTTAAAATTCTAAGTAATATTATGTTTTATGTAGTTTTAATTCTATTTAAGTTATTATTTTAGCCGTATTTTTAGCGTGACGTTTATTAAAGTGCCACGTAACATCGGATCGCGCGCGATTTCCAACGAAATGAGGGTTTTAACACGCGATTTTTGAGTTTATGTAAGAGAAAATTTTACACAAAACAGATTTTTATAAATTAATTTATATATTTTTCCTTTTTTTTCTATTAACTTTAATATGTATTATTAGATCAGCATCATATATATCACAAAAAAAGAAACGTTATGAATTCGAACCGCAGCATAAAAATCGAAAACACCACATTTGCAATAGGACAAATACACTATATTTTACTTGTCAGCATCACAACGAAAGTATATACAACAGTCTTTTTTTTTTTAATTTTAATTTTTTTTATAGGATGCTGGCTCCCACTTTCTGCAGCACCGCACCCTTCCACAACATAATTAGTTTATTATTAGTTTTAATATTAATTTACACCCGAACTTAGTAGCTCCTTCATAAATAAGAGTCCTTCTTTCATTGGTCGGCATCATAATGTCTGATAGTCGCTAGTTAGACCGAGGGTGATGTCTGTCAGAGGAGGCGTCACCAATGGAACAGTTGCTGTACTGGGTAGTTCTAGTAGACGAAAATTCTGAGCAGAGACGTTTGGTGGTGTTCCTCCACTTAGAACACCTTCGAGTCCATTAACTGAGGGTTTAATCCCGTCCGAATACAACCCATTGGAGCGATCTGTCGAAGAGGGATGCTGATGGTGCTTCTGCCCTATTGGACCATCGTTAGATTTTCTATCGGTGCTCTCGGAGCCCATTAAATCCCCTTTGCTGGACGTTGAACTATCGGAAATCTTCCCCTTATCCGTTCCTGTCTCCCTAAACAAATAAAAGAAACAGAAAATCGTTAGTGGTTTCGTTCGGTACGTCAGAAACAAAGCGTATTCTCTAAGTTAATTTTTCTCTGTTACGTATAAAAATATTTACTCTACTTTCTGGCAACTTTGAACTTTATACTGATATTGCGCGAGATTCATTAACCAAATAGGAAATTGCATAAATTTCGCTCAAATATAATATAACCTTTCTAAATTAATTTTAAAAGCCGAAAACACGTAAACGATTTAAAAATCTAAGTAATTTTACGATTTATTAGTTCTATTATCCATGTAAATTATAAACTTTGCAATATTAGTAAAATCGTCTTGGCTAAATTGCCAAGTCCAATAATGTAGCGCTTATAGACGAGCTTAATCATCATAAATGGCAAAAATTATTCCCTTAAAACTTATAATTATAGACAATGACGATGGAAAATTTCAACATCTGAGTCTACATTATAATTTTTCGTAAAAATTTTATTACAGAATTGTCATTCGATAGCCATTAATTCCGTGTTTTTTGACAATCGATAACATTGTTAACAGTTTAGATAATTGTAGATGATATCATTGCCTAATTATCCAAAAAAACTACAATGATAAAGCGCAATACCACTCTAGATTTTGACCTTGGATGCCGGCCATATTTTTTACAATTCGAAGCATTCTTTCGTACAGGGGCCTATACACTTCAACAGCACAACTACAGTAATCCTCTTCAAGAATTCCTTATCTTAGACACTTTCTAGTTCATTTTTATTATTATTACATCACACGAGATGTATTATATCAGCCACTAGTAACATAAACCTTAAGGGGTGATGGTAGGATCTAGATGTCAACTGGAATCTGTAAAATTTATTTTTGCTTAGGAAACTACCTCCGAGTGGGTCTGTAATATCTTTTTTGGGGGGTTAGATACATCTGTTGCAGTATCGTATACTCTCTTCTTCTTATTATTACTATAAAGCTTTCGGGATTAAAGAAGGGGGATGGAGTAAAACAAAAAAAAAATCCATCTCGACTCTTTGGATTCCCTCCGTTTGCGGCCAGTCTGGAGCGATTACATTTGGCAATGGAGAAGAAAAACAAAACGGAACAGATGGTGTAGCGTTACAATGTCAATCAGCAAAGTGCAGGAACTCGACTGGGATTGTATATCGGAGGAACCAAAAAAGTATTCGGAACGGGTCTCCATACTAAAAATATCATCGGGGGCATAAGAGCCATATCGACAGAGATATCGGTAGATTACAAGTATTGCAATGCGTTTAGCATCATCTGGTTATAATACTGCAAGGGGGGATGTCACAAATTACAGAATTAGAAGTATTGTGGATCTGAGTGTTAGCGCATTGCAAGTGGGGAATTATAATTCAAGAGCTTGTAATGCATCAAAAACACGGAAGTATCGGTAGATTAGAAACATTGCAATGTGTTAGCATCATTCCGATTAGAATACTATAAGGGGGGAACTGCAATTGCAAGTACGGAAGGGAACGGAATAAGGGGGGAACGGAATTGCAAGTATTGTAGATCTAAGTTAGCGCATTGCACCAGTCGTAATTTACAATTCTAGAGCAATTCTAATTGATTAACTATAAAATTACGATGTTAAAATATCACAGATTATGATGTAACAAGACTAGATGGGGGTAGCAAGTATCATTTTGTAGTATACATTGGCTCATATTGTACGGACTACGATTTCTTTGCTGCTAAACATAGAACTTTCGTCTCCATTTTCCAAGTAGGAAATATCATCTTTAAAGAAAGAAAAAAAAAAAGAAAAACTAATCATAATAAACAAACTGTTCGAGTTATTCAATTGAAAAATATCGGTATTTTAAATATAGCAGACACGTCCCATTGATAGAGGGATGGAAGAGTTGTCAGCTGTGCTAGAGAAGGTTGCAAAGTAAACAGTCTTAGTTGTATTAACTGCAGACTGTGCGCTTGTTTTAAACTGGAAGAGCTGACGTTGCCAGACTGACACAGATCCCGAAAAGATGTCCTTGGATCTCGAAAAAGAATCTGACTTAAAAATTTAAGCAAAGGAGGGAAAAAAATCTAAGTTGCACTTTTACCAAATTACCCAAATTTCTACGTTACGCCTAAACTAAAGCGTAATTTGGCCGTATTTTATAAAAATTTTTTAGATAGAAGCGCCTAATGAGGCATTAATGCAACTCTATCCTTTCTCTAGGCCCACTACTCTAACCTAAAAATGTGTAACTACCGCATAAAAAATGAGAATTTTTTTCTGAAAACTAAAACTACACCCCTTATCTAAAATCCTCGATTATCTTCGATCTCAGGCTGTGTTTATATATATATATATTTTATAATCATTTTTAAAAGGTTAAATAATGTATATTATCCTATTTACCCTTTACTTGATTGAAAATTTGATCAATAAACAAGACGTCAATGCGTATCATCCAGGAAGAAGTTTACCTTCTCTCCTTTTTTTTTCCTAAAATAAATAGCAAGAAGCAAAATCCTATCTTTTCTGTAAACATAGAAGTGCAGGAGAGATCTTTCCGATAGTTTATTTTCTAAGAAGCGTTAATCCATCGAAGAATAAACTAGGAATAAATCTACAAAAAAATAAACATATTTTAAAAGATTGGTGACATTTAATGGCAGCCGCATCCTCAATCCTTCGTTAAAAAATCAGGACTTACTAGAGATGATGCGCCTTATTTTACTAAAATGTATGTATGTTAAAGTCTATTTTTATGTTAAAATTCTCTAAAAATTGATTTATGAGTTCTAAATTGCTTCATTTTAGTGGGTCTCTACCCTCTCTCTACAGTTGTAGAGAGAGGGTAAGACCCACTAAAATTGATGCGTAGAGCTAAATTTACATTTTATTTATAAGTATATCGTGTCTAAATGTGGTGAACATTGTTTCTAATTTTTTTTATTTATTCTAAATTCAGTTTGAACTTCAACTTATCTGATAAATCTCGAGTGAAACAGCGCTTAATTTAGGCCTACGTAGTGTATAACTTTGAATTCATTACGCAACGAATCAGTAGACAAGATCTTTTCTAATATTAGAATTCTCTTTAACCAATATTAAAGATATATTTTTTTTAAATGCTAAGAGAGAGAAAAAGTATCTAAATTTATTTTATCCAATCTGCTTATTCAGCTTAACACGTTTCGAATGTAAAAAGTAAACACGACTTTTCAATTCTTGTAATATAAGCTGACATTCTTCACGCAACGATAAAAACAAACTGACTGGAAATATTCCAAAATTTTTTGGAAACGAGTTACTTCGTCATTTATCCAAAATTTCGACCCAAAATAATTATCTGCGGAAAGGGCGGAAGAGAGAAAGAAAGAAAGAAAAGCTGCTCCCCCCCCTTTAGGGATGGAGACCACACCTCCCATGTGCCCCATTGGTGTGACGATAATTCCTAAACGGCCCTTCTCACGCAGTTAATTAAAGAGCAGCTGCCGTCCGCCAATGAATTATTCACCCCTCCATTAATATATATATATATATATATATATATTTAGGTTTAGATCTGCTCAATTGGGCAAGATAGCCGCAGTATTATCACGGCTTGTCATTTATTCGCGACTCCACGTATGATGTATTATCATTTTTTTTATCATTTTTGACTTTTATTCCCAATGCACCATCTCTAATAATAATCTAAAGGTTGGATATTTATCCAGGATCCACTCCTTTGCCAAATACTAATGGGTAAATTGACAGTAGTGATTTTTGAACACGGTTCAAACGTTCGAGTCACGTTTACACTCATTAAACACGGGCTGTATGGATCCCGATACACCTAATAAGTAAAGATCTAAGTATTACACGCTTTTATGTTGTGTTACTATAATCTCAATTTGTCTTAACCCCTCGACTGATAAATTTTGAAAATGGAACCCTTCTTGAAAGATGATTTATACATCTAGGAAAAAGATATATATTAACTTTTTAACCCGACTCCTGCCGTACATTCGTAGATCAATATATAATTCTCTGTTTTAAGAATCATGAATCATAAATCTATGTGATCTCAATATTAAAAAAAATCCCTACTTGCTTCCTTATCAGAAGGGCATCAAAGTATACAAATAAACAAAAGTAGGATCCATCTTGATTCGCTTAATCTTGAAAACAGTTTCAGAATTTAAATTAATTCACACTGATGAGTCACTACACTTATTATAGAATGGCTAATCATATTTTTTTTTTCATCTATTAAATCATTGTTCTTTCGCATTACGAGACTCTCCTATTTTCTACGCACGTAGGATAACATTTAAAATCAAACGAATCACCTACACACGTGGCAAAAACGGTGCTTTAAATGTAGGAGTATGTACAGAAAAGCAATTACACTAGCGCGTAACACCCCCTTCGACTTAAATCGGTATCATTTAAATAAGAGAAGAGAACCGCCCTTCTTATCGAAATCGATCAGGCAAACAAGATAATCCGTAATAAAAACCTATCACGAACAGGTGCGTCAGTCTCGTCTGTCCGCAGATATTTACAACTATGAATTAGGAGCCTATCAGCAACGTGTTTACAACGTGTAGTGTGTCATTGCGTGAGACTAGGACCCTTATAGATTATTGATTGCGACAGTCCGAAAGGGTGAAGAAAAAGAAAAAGAAAAAAAAATCTGTGCGCGCTCGTGCCTTAGCAGCACTAATAGCTTTAGCAGAGTGTTAGGTTGGTTGTGTAATAGTGTCACGCAGATTCGTCAAAGACATTTTTGCGTGCAGATGTGGATGGGTGATTTCCAAATCTCATTACCGACTCGATATCTATCCCGTCTCCATTCTAAATTTTCTCTTATACACTATTCCATTTTCTAATTGCTATTAATAATTTAATTGCACCGATTCTGAAGGCGTAAGAGGTGTCGTGATTAACAAAACGATCTCGTTTTTATCTGTTTCTAGTCTTTAAACTTGTGTACGTTGAAGTGTTTCATCACACCATCTGTTGTATTAATTTTC